AATATCTAGAAATGGTTTATTCTTCTACAAAAGATTTTGATTTTAATCAACTCTCATCAGAGCATCAGTAGTCAGATAAACAGAGGGTCATTAGATCTTGTGAGATAAACAAAACACTTGTTTTTATTAAATGCCTAACATTTCAAGCTTACCAAGCTCATACATTGTAGCAATGCTTCCACAAATATGTCTATCTCTTTATTAATCAAAATTACTTCCTCCTACATTTTCATTTCTTTATTTTTAAACTTTCAGTTTTAAAAAAAAAAAACCTTCAGTTTGGGAGCTTACGTTCTCATACATATCCTTTGCATTTTAGTGTATGCTGCATGTGTTTGATGTACACGTCATAAATCTGCTTCATCTCCTTAGTTAAAAAACAGCAGTGTGTTTTTTACCTTGTTTGGACAGCATCCACCTGAATGGTACTTTTCCAGGTCTATTGCCTTTGGATTCGCAGTGCTCAGTGCTCAGTAGGCATATCGGAAGTAGGGGGAAGACACCCGAGAGAAGCACTTGGCTCAAAGCCAAGGCCCATCTTTGGCAGGCAGCTCTGCAGGAGCAAGGCAGGCACATCTCCCTGAAATGGGGCTTGGAAATTGCCAGAACTGGCTAAATTGTGAACTATTTTAGAAGGATTGAAAGAAAACAATAAACCATCATTAGGGTGTTTGATGGGCATTTCTTGAACAACATCTAGAGCTGCGATTACTATGTGTTAAACAAAAAAGTTCACAGTATTGGGAGGAATCCTGTAATTTGGTAACAAAGGCGAAGGCATTGCTTTACACCCCAGCTGGTATCCCGGGGTGGCGGGGGGTGGTAATGTATTGCACAGAAGAGAGATTTTATTAAACATATTCCTCTACCAGCAATCCAGCATATTTTGCAATATTTAAGCTCACATATTGTTATGTTATTATAATATCTCGAGGCTGTTTGTGAAAAAGTATGAATAAAAACATGTTTTCTCTTACATGTTTCTGAATAATAAACTCAGTTGGAACACATTTCCCCACAAGCCTACTATGTTGTAACAAGGAAATATGTAGAGGCTCATTAAAATTGAGGATGCTGGGGGCCAGTGCCATGGTATAGCGGATAAAGCTGCTGCCTGTAGTGCTGGCATCCCATATAGGCACCATTTCGAGTCCTGGCTGCTCCACTTCTGATATAGCTCTCTGCTATAGTCTGGGAAAGCAGTGAAAGATGGCCCAAGTCCTTGGGCCCACACACCAAAAGACCCGGAAAAAGCTCCTGGCTCCTGACTTCAGATTGGCTCAGCTTCAGTCATTGCAGCCATCTGAGGAGTGAACCAGTAGACAGAAGACTCTTAGTCTCTCTCTCTCTCTCTTTCTCTCTCGCTCTGCCTCTGCCTCTCAAATAAATAAATCTTAAAAATAAAATAAAATTGAGGATGCTTAATTTGGTTTTCTTATATATCCTTTTTTAAAATTTCTGATACGTTAATGATGATCATGTTTTCTATTAAATAATGCATATGTATTTACAGAATGTTAAAATATATAATGAATATTACCATATAACAAGTTAGGTGTTACCATCAAATAGGCCATCTTAGTAGCCAGATGCAACTGTGAAGAGTTCAATTGAAAATCCATCTGAGGGGACAGTATGGCTACATTTCTTTATGTTTGCCACTTTTAAAATAGCATTTGAAATCTAAGCAGAAAAAAGAAAGATAGGTTTTAAACAAGTACTCTGCGAAGTTATGGAACTGCTGAATTAAAAACAAGTTCATCTTAGGAATTTGTGCATGTGTGTGTGTGTATACCAACTTCTCACATTTCATATTTTTGCACATATGGAAAAAGTACATCACAAGTACAAGCAGAGGAGTGAGAACTCAAAATATATTTGAAAAACAATGGGGACAATCACAGTCTTCTGGTTTTCTATATACCATACTTCATAATGAGGAAATTTGGGGCTTTCATTCTTTTCTTTTTAGATATTAGCACAGGGATTCTGTATACTAATATCAAATAAATGAAGAAAACTATTGAATAAAGGACACTGAGCTGACAAAATGAATGAAAATTGGAGTTTTCTTTCATTTCTAACTTCAAGGAAATATTTAAGTGACATTGAAAACTAAATATGTTAAAAGAGTTTGCAGTTTGCATTGATTCTTTATATTTATTGGGTAGAATAATGAAGAACTGCAAAAACTACAAAAATTGATGATTTTTAAAATATTTATTTTATTTATTTGAAAGGCATTGTGACAGATATGGAGGGAGAGACGTAAAAAGAGAGAGATCTTCTACTCAGTGGTTCACTCTCTGAATGGGCACAACGGCCAGGGCTGGGCCAGGCTGAACCCAGGAACATGGAACTCCATTTGAACCTCCACTATAGGTGTCCAAGAGGCCAACTAGGGCCATTTTCTGTGGTAGGCCCAGATGCATTAGTAGGGAGCTGGATTGTAAGTGGAGCAGCTGGGGCTCAAATAGGCACTCATATGGTTTGCTGACATCATAGGTGGCAGCTTAACCAACTGTGCCATAATGATGACCCTGCTCACTATACTCAGTGTTATGATTTTGATTTTTGTAATTTGAAAAGCAGAGAGACAGAGAAGAAGAGACATCTTACCATCTACTGATTCATTCTCCAAATGTTTCCAACAGTTGTGGTGGAGCAAGCCAGAACCAGGCCAAAGTCAGGAGTTGGAGACCCAATTCAGGTCTCCCATAGGGGTGGCAAGGACTCAAGCAATTGAGTCATCACCTATGACCTCAGTGTGCACATTAGTAGAAAGCTGGAATTGGAAGTGGAGGCAGTGCTCAAACTCAAATGCTTAGATATGAATTACAGGTATCCCAAGTGGTAACTTAATTTATTTATTCATTCATTCATTCATTCAAAGAGAGAAAGAGAAACAGAACCCTTCCATTTGCTGCTTATTCCTCAAATGTTCACAGCAACAAGATCTGGGACAGGCTGAAGCCAGGAGCCAGAAACTCAGTCCAGGTCTTCTACATGGGTGGAAGAGAATGAAGTACTGGATCCATCACCTAATGCCTCCCAGGGTGTACATCATCAGAAAACTAGGGTAGCAAGTGGAGCCAGGACTTGAACCCAGGCACTCTGATGGGATACAGGCATGTACGTGACCCCAAGTCATTTTTTTAAAAAAGATCTATTTATTTATTTGAAAGGCAGAGTTTGAGAGAGAGAGAGAGATATACAGAAAGAGAGACAGAGATCTTCCACCTGCAGGTTCACTCCCCAGATGGCTGCAAAAGCCAGGGCTGGGCCAGGCTGAAGTCAGGGGCCTGGAACTCCACCCAAATCTCCTATGTGATAGCAGCGGCCCAAGCACTTGGGTTATCTTCTGGTGCTTTCCCTGGCACATTATCAGGGAGCTGGATCAGAACTGGAGCAATGGGTACCCTAACAGGCACACATGTGGGATGCTGGCATTGCAGGCAGCAATTTAACCCATTATGCCAAAAGTTACATCTTATGTTAAGTAAAATACCTGCCACTGGTATTTAGTTGTTAAGTATATTATATGACAGAGACATTTAAAAGTAATTTTTAAATAATTAAAATTTATTGACACATAATGTTTGTGCATATTTATGATGTGTAATGCAATGGTTTGATTCAGATATATAGTGTATAATTGTCACATCAAGCAATGGTTCTTTCAGGATAATTAATATGTCTGTAACCTCAAACTTTCATCGTTTCTTTATGGCGAGTATATTCAGAATCCTCACTTCATCTGAGATATGCAATGCATTATAGTTAACTGTATTCACCCTGATGTCCTTCCTGTTCAACCATAATGTACACATTGACCCACTTCTCTCCCCCCTTCCTTTTAGTCCTCTGCACTCTTGAGAAACCACTATTCTACTCTAAACTTCTCTAAGGTCAACATTTTTAGATTTCACTTAGAGTGAGATAATGCAGTACTTGTCTTTCTGTGCCTGATTTATTTCAATTAACATCATGTCTCCTAGGTCTGTCCTCATTACCACAAATGGCAGGATTTCATACTATTTATGGTTGAATAGTATTCCATAGTTTTCTTTATCTATTAGTCTTGTTAATAGCTATTGGTTGATTCGCTATCCTGGTTATTGTGAATAGTGCTGCAAAAAAAAAAAAATGGAACTGCAGGTATCTTTCTGATATGTTTCTTTCATTTCCTTTGGGAATATACCCAGTAGTGTGACTGGGGATTATATATTCTATGCTTAATTTTTTGAGAAATTGCCATACTGTTTTCCATAATGACTGTAGTATTTACACTCCTACCTGATATTATTTTTCATATGAATTCTAAATACTTTAATAAAAGTTATGATATTTTATAGATTCTTGTAGTATGCAAAATATTATAAGAAAAATTATATTCATGGCATTTCTGCCACCATCTAACTCCTTCTCCAATATAAACAGACAAACCCAATTTAATCATTCCTTTTTTTTAGACTACTCCCATACATATTCTCTAATTTCTTCATTTAAGGGATTTAAATATCACTCAGTAACTTTCCACTATGGAGTTTGGGGAATAGTATCTTTTAGATAGTCTTCCACTTTCCAATATCCTCTTCTCTCCACATTATATAGCTTGATAATCATTAACATTATTGCTGAGCTGTGTATCTTTTTATAGTGTACATACACATCTTGTTATTATTTTGCTAATTATCATAACCAGCTAAATTCTCTTCTATAACATAACCTTATTCCTAATCTTTCTGGTTTTTCCCCCTCTTTATTGTACCTATCAACCTTTTGTCCAAAATAGCTTAGTTTGACATAGTCAAGACTAAACAAATTTACATTTCACTATGTGATGAGAAGATCATAAATGAGTCTTCTGTGCTCTGTGGATGGAATTAAAAGTGGAAAATTAATGAACCTTATTACTACTATTATGCTGTTATAGACTCATTAACTCCAAGTCTCAGCTGCATTTCAAAATAATATTTCTCTTTGTTGTGTTTCAATAGCATGACCTCTGAATTACTCCAAATATAATCTGGCCAGCACTAACACAGTTAGGGAAGCAGAGAACGATAGTGGCTGAGTAAGATGCTCCAGTGGTTGTCTCTTCAGAGAACCAATTTGAATCATTATTGAAGCACCAAGTCTCACCTTCACAAGAACAATGAAGGCCAGGTAAGAGGCCACAGTGCCTGGTTTTAGTATAACAATAAGAAAAGATGTGTTGATGTAAGCAGAAAAGAGTTGCCTGCATCACCTCTCTGGAGCTCCAAGTAGCACAGCATAGAGAGTGATGCCTGGCCTCCACCTTGGAGAGGAAAAGGGAATTAAGTCCAGACCTTACACTTGAAACCCAGTACCAGGCTCACCATGATGCAAACCAGTGCCAAACAGGGCCCCAGGTCTGTACCTGTAGACTGAGTCTTTGGATCTTCCCTAGCCAGGTAAGTAAGGGACTGACCCTACCACCTGTCTCAACCTCTGGTAGACCGCAGAGAAAGAATCTAGTCACTGGAGAACAGGACAGTAAGAGAACTTAGGACCTTACCATGGAACTCAGAGCCAGGCCCACGACTGTAAGATCCCACATGTGAAAAAGTACAAAGCCCTCTACCCTTGCCCGGTGCTCACAGACAGAGTTGTATGTGTATCACTGCTTATCTTGTTGGGAAGGCCCCGAAATATCAGAAGGTAGAAAATTAATTGGCAAGAATCACTGTATAGTCATATTCAGAATGCTCTGATACTATAAGCCAGCGCCTGTGGGTGGAGCCTGCAGACTTGGCTAGGATTTTGAGATCTGAACTCTGGTTGACAAACTCGTTTTTAGTGTGCCTCATCAGCAGCCTCCTGTGCACCCCTTAGATGGCACAGGACCTGGTGAGTGTGAAACCTAGGTGTGACCTAGCTGAGTTCTAGTCTGGGTGGCCAAGAAGCTGCTTTTATCACCCTTTTTGCACAGGATTGGGTATTGGGACTTGGGGCTGGGCTGGATAAAACCAACAATGGCAGTTCCTAACAGTCCCCATTCCCAGGCCAGTGCCTGCAGTCTGAGGCTGTTGACTTTCTCTGGTGCCAAATGGGATCCTGAAGCTTCAGTTGACCGGACTTACATCGAAGCAAGCATAACCTGTGGCTGTTTGCAGTGGACCCTGGCTGTGAGTCTGCATCTGCAGCAGGCAGATCACAACTATACTCATTCTGCACTGGTTTTGGTGGGCTGCAGGCTCTGCGCATTATCTTCTTTATGGCATCTAGTCCTAGCCCCAGGAATGGGCATCTAGTCCTGGTCCCAGAAATAAGCTTGCAGGGATAGGATTTTAATACATTTCCCTAGTTCATTCTGAACAATACATCTGGGCTTATTTGGGATAAATCTGGGCTTGGGGCATCCTCTTAAACTAAAACAGTGACAACACATCAGTAGCATTTTGAAACAAACTTCTACTTAGGGGCACTATCTTGTGCTAAAATAACATAAGTATCTATAGGCTCAGAGAAAAAAAAAAAACACTTAGAATTTCTGGTAGGAAGGCCACAGATAAAGATTATGAAGACTGTAATCCTTCAATGCACAAAGGTGACTGTGTGCCAGGAAGTTCCAAGAACCTTAGAGAAACCATGACCTTACCTAATGAACAAAATAAGGGGTTACAAAACAACCAACTAAGTTACAACATTTTCAAATGCTTGGATAAAGAATCAAAATTACCACTTAAGGAAGCTCAACAAATGTCTACAGAATGCATTAAAATGATTTATTACTTGACAGAGATTTATTTGGCCCAGATAGAAGTAATTTAAAAAAAAATCTAACAAATTCTTCAACTGAAGAAGACACCAAGCAAAATTAAAATTGGGATAAGTGATACAAATAGAAAAATAAATCAACACAGAACAAAGAAGCAATGATTCTTTCTAGGAGATAGGTTATTTGAAAATACACAGTTGGGAGAAGAATAAAGAATCCAGAGAAATATAGAAAGCTTGCAGGAACTTTAGGATTGCTTGAAAAAGGGCCAATATCTGAGTCATTGTGGATCAAGTAGGACTTGAGAATGCCAAAATGTTTGAAAGTAGTTCAAGGAGATAATGACAGACAATTTCTCAATTGTAGGAAAAGATATAATTCTCCAGGTATACGAAAGTCATAGATAACCAGTGGGGTTCAACTCAACCAAGTCTACCCTGAGACTTAGTAGGACCGAGCTCTCCAAGGTTAAAGATAGAGGATTCTCAAGCTGCAAGAGGAAGGAAACAACATGAAAAGGGATCCCAACTTGCTTGACTTCAGACTTCTGAGCAGAAACCTTGTAAATTCCAAGATGGTGTTAGATGAGACTTTTATGGAAGGGTGGTGAGAGTACTATACCAAATGAGCTATTCTTGAGATCTGAAAGAGAAATATACTCCAGACAGAAAAAAAGCTGAGAGAACGTATCATCACCAGGCAAGCCTTATAAGAAATGCTAAAAGGAGTTATTCAAGCTGAAAGAAGCAACTAACAAGAAGAAAATATCACACGGTAGAAAATTCATTAGTAAGAATAGTTATACAGCCAAGTTCAGAATGTTCTGATATTATAAACATGCTGCCCAAATTATTCTTATTTTCAGTATGAAGATTAAAAAACAAAAATTAAAGTACAAATAACTTCAAAAATGTGATGAGACAGTCAGTTTAGAAAGATGTGAAATGAGACCTCAAAATTCAAAATATGGATAGAAAAGGAGTGCAAATGTAGAGTTCTTTTTTAGTACTTCCCATTCTTTTCTTTTTTGGTTTCTTCTCCTATCATTAAAATCAATATCAAGTTGCTTTCACTTCAAAATAGCTTATAACAACCAGAAAATTTTATTTGTAGGCCTTATGGTTTGTTTTATGGTTACAAAGCGAAAATCTAGAAAATATAAAAAACTATAAACAAAGTGTCAAAACATACTAGTAGAGTAAATCACTTAATCGCAAAGGAATATTTTGAGAGTGAGAAAGGAAAAACTAAAACCAAAACCAAAACTAAAACAAGAAAACAAGTAGTAATGACAGTAATATGAATAGTTACCTTAAGTGCAAATGATTACATTCTCTAATTAAAAGTTATGTTATACAGTGGATGAATGGATTAAAAAAGAAGACTCAACTTCATGTAGCTTGCAAGAAACTCATTTCACCTAAAAGATACACATAGACTGAAAGTGAAATGATGCAAGATTTTGCAGGCAACTAAACACAAAAGAAATCACAAGTACTCACACATCAATCAGATAAAACAGATTTTTAAAGTATAGTAAAAAGAGACTACAGATCTCATTATGTAAAGGTAAAGGGTTCAATCCAGCAAAAGAAAATAGTAATTGTAAATTTATGTGCACCCAATATCAAAGCACCCATATATTAAAGCAAATATTTATAGGACTAAAGGGGAAGTCTAACTCCAACATGAAAATAGGAGATTTAACATCTCACTTTCAGAAATAAATAGTTCAAACAGACAGAATATCATGAAGAAACAGCAGAGTTAAACTGCACCCTAGGTTAGCTGGGCCTAACAGACATCTACAGAACAGCCATCCAACAGCTGCAGAATACCCTTCTTCTCAACAGCACATGCAACACTCTCCAGGACAGAACACACAGTGGCTCACAAAACAAATCTCAGTAAGTTTTGAAAAGTATAAATTATGTTAACTATCTTTTCTGAGCATAGTGTGATAAAATTAGATATCAGTAACAAGAAAAACTTTGGACACTAAATGAATAAGCAGAAATTAAGCAACTTACTCCTGAGCAACCAATGGATTATGTAAAAATAAAGAAAGAAATTTGAAAATTTCTTGCAACTAATGCAAATGAGAAAACAACAAGCTGAATACAACAAAAACAGTACTAAAAGGGAAGTTGTAGCAATCAATGTTCACATCAACAAAGCCAAAACATTTCAAATGACCAACTACATCTCAAGAAACTATAATAAGAACAAATCAAATGACACGGAGGCTAAAAGACACAATATAAAAATAAGTGAAACATGGACCTCATTTTTTCAAGCAAAATTGTCAAACCCAAAGTTAAACCATCAAAGAAAATAAGAAAAGACTCAAACAATATCAGGGACACAAACTGAGACATTGCAACTGACACCACAGATTGTTAGATTTTCCAGACCAATTATATAAGTAGGATCCATACCAGGGATTCTAGAATAGATCTACACACAAATCAATAATTGTAATACATCAAATCAACAGAATGAATGACAAAAAGTATACAATTATGTCAGTAGATGCAGAAAAGACGTTTGATAAAATCTAGTATCCCTTTATAACAAAGACTCTGGGAAAAGTAGGTGTAGAAGGAACTTATCTCAACATAAAAGTATATTTAACAAGTCAACAGTTAGCATCATGCCAAATGGGGAAAACCTGAAGGATTTCTAAGATCTGGAACAGGATTAAGATGCCCATTTTCCCCACGCCGGGTTCTAGTCCTGGTTGCTCCTCTTCCAGTCCAGCTCTCTGCTGTGGCCTGTGAAGGCAGTGCAGGATAGCCCAAGTGGTTGGGCCCTGCACCCCAATGGGAGACCAGGAGGAAGCATCTGGCTCCTGGCTTCGGATCAGTGTAGTTCCGGCCATAGCGGCCATTTCGGGGGTGAACCAAAGGAAGGAAGACCTTTCTCTCTGTCTCTCCCTCTCACTGTCTAACTCTATCTGTCAAACCAGCAAACAAAAAAGATGCCCATTTTTCTCCACTTTTATTTAATATAGTATTTTAAATCCTAGCCAGACCAATTAGGCACATAAAACAAAGAATATACAGGTTAAGATGGAAGAAGTCAAATTGTTGCTGTTTGCAGATGACATGATTTTATACCTAGAAAACTCCAGAGTTCACTCACCAAGAACCTAATAAATAATTAGGACTAATAAAATAATTGAGCAAAGTTACAAGATACAAACTCAATGTGTGAGAAATCAGTAATGTTGTTAAAAGCCAATTATCTGAAAACCAATTAAGGAAAGTAACTCCTCTTAAAATAGCTCAAAAAAAGAAAAACCCACATAAGTATAAATATAACCAAAGTGTAAATTTTAAAACACTGATGAAAGAGATTGAAGAGGGTTGAAAGAAATGGAAAGGCATCCTGTGCTCATGGATTGGAAGTACCAATATCATTA